GCAGACGCTATCCCAAGGGACCCCCCAGTGGGGCAGTTCCTGCCCATCTTCCCCCAGCTGCGGTGCTTCTTTCCTATCCTGAGCAGGGAGGTGGTGGGCTTTGGTCCACCTGGCAGTGGGTCAGCCCGGCTCAGGGTCCTGTGTGTGCACACTGCTGGGTGACATAGGCCCTACACCCTCTCAGGCCTCGGATTCTAGGGATACAGGTTGGGACCCCATCGCAGACACATCCCTCTGCCCCATGTCCCAGCTATCCAGGCCCCGTTTCTCCCACCACCCCGTGTGCCACTCACTGATTCTTTGTAAAGCTATTAGTTTTGTGAATTCTTGAAGCAGATTATGAAGTGTTTGGGGGGCTGACACATCATGTGAGAGGGGGCCATGGAGGGGTGCAGGTGGACGGGCTTGAGTTGGAGGCTAGAGGATCCGTTGGGGTGCCCAGCGGGCCTGGGGACCCGCATGTGTGCACGTTTGAAGGTCTCTAATTGGTGCAAAAATATGCCCACTGTGAGGGCCCAACTGTGGTGGGTAAAACAGACAACTTCCCATCACTCAAGAAAAGAGCCTCTTTTTTAAGGAGAAGAGAAAGTGAGACCGAGAGACAGAGACAGACAGATGGAGACAGAGACAGAGATGGAGAGAGGCAGAGACAGTGAGACAGAGACAGAGAGATGGAGAGAGACAGAGATGGAGAGAGACAGAGACAGAGATGGAGAGAAGTAGAGACAGTGAGACAGTGACAGAGAGATGGAGACATACAGAGATGGAGAGAGACAGAGACTGGGAGATGCAGACAGACAGAGACAGAGATGGAGAGAGACAGAGACTGGGAGATGCAGACAGACAGAGACAGAGATGGAGAGAGACAGAGACAGAGATGGAGAGAAGTAGAGACAGTGAGACAGTGACAGAGAGATGGAGACATGATGCAGACAGACAGAGACAGAGATGGAGAGAGACAGAGACTGGGAGATGCAGACAGACAGAGACAGAGATGGAGAGAGACAGAGACTGGGAGATGCAGACAGACAGAGACAGAGATGGAGAGAGACAGAGACTGGGAGATGCAGACAGACAGACAGAGATGGAGAGAGACAGAGACAGGGAGATGCAGACAGACAGAGACAGAGATGGAGAGAGACAGAGACTGGGAGATGCAGACAGACAGAGACAGAGACGGAGAGAGGCCCCCGGCCCGAGTCCTCGCACCTTCCCTGCCCTCGGTCTGCCCTCGGTCCTGGAGCCCCCCTGGGTGGCCATTGCCTATTTCGCCACCATAGTTGTTACAGGAAGGGGCCGAGGCCGCAGCCTGCAGCTCCCACTTCCCTCAGCCGCCAGCTCATGGAGGGCCC